ACTTCCATGCTTATCTGCGCATGTCCTTCATCACCATTATCGGACCGAATAGAATCCTGGGTCAAAATAACAAATCTTGCGACAAATCTTCATAAGGACTTCCATGCTTATCTGCGCATGTGCTCCAGCAATAATCATTGTCTCGAATTTCAAAATGAGACTTCCCAAACGTTCTAACGACTTTGTAGTACATATCAGCGAACAGTTTACACCGTCTTTCCTCTTTGCTTATGCCTTGGAAGAAATACCAGACCTCTAGAAGAGCGCTTAGGAATCGCCTTCGGCGCACGTGACTAAAGAGCTGTTTGCACGTGGTCTTCATGTCGGCGAGGAAAGCATCATCGCAAAGATCACGTGTCCATTTGAARTGATGACCCTGGTACGAGAAAATGGTAAGATGTAATTATAAAGTGATTACCACCAACCGATCGTTATTAATTTGCGCAGTTCAATTTACTTTATAAATAATTATCCATTCACGCGTGTTAATACATGCTTGATTCATGGAACTGTTGTCGGAGTAAAAGTCTTGATTTTAAAACTTCGGATAGCCACTTTTTTAATTACGATTAAGTTGCATCAAAATAAACATACGATATAGCCTCAAACATGGCTTTATTGATCTTTTTCTGATAATTGAAAGATGGCTCCAGTCTTTTYGCGTTTTCTATTGTTTGCGAAATTAAGGCGCCAATCCACCGGTTAACCGACCTGTAACTTTTATGCTGTTTTTTTCTTATTCAAATTACTTACAAGAAACAAAGCATTGTCTTGTTTCAAAAATGAATCAGTTTTTCATATACAAATCAAGCAAAACAAAACTCTTATTATAAATTAAAGTCAAAAYTTAACGTGTGTTGCTATGAAAGCAGCGGATAAATTGTAAAAATTAATAAAGAAAAATCTAATGTTTGAATATGTGCGCAAAATACAATATTACTGTAAGGCTAACACGTCTTGATTTTGATGTGGTAAAGTCCCTAAAACATACCATGTTTTGTCAGCTTTTGACGCAAAACGTTGCGTTTCCGTAAAAAACCGCCATATATTACGATGTATTTTTATTTTCTAACATGAGCAAAAGCTCGAAAGAGCTGCTGGTGGATCATGTACCTTTAAAGGCCAAAGTGCATCCAAGAACTTCTTCGCGATTTTCTCACATACGAAATGCTGTGTTTTTATAGCTTTTAACGCAAAACGTTGCGTTTCCGTACAAAAAAAAGCCATAAATACGCATCCGCTTCATATCGCACAGAGTGAGTCATGCTCCCACCTTCAAATTCCAATACTTAAGCTTAAAAAGATTTTGTTAAGAGTAAACGCTTAAAAACGTAGTATAATACGTAAAAACATATCAATATACTTACGCATCCGTAGCAGATATCATGTTTATTGCACGCTGGAGTGAATCTCCCTTTATAAGGGGCCGCTATTCCTAACGGTACGCTACATCCATTGGTATACTGATCCGCAAGGCACTCTCGCGACGAATTTTTCGTTTTAAAAATGTCGAATATTTTATCTTCTTTAGACATAGACACGGGGATCTCCTCTAAAGTTAACAGTACAACAAGAAGGATTTCTGCCAAAGTAAATGTCTTTATGTGAAGGTGCATCCAGATTCAATGATTCGTAGCGGCCCAAAACCATGGAAAACTTGACTTTTAAAACGAGGCATCCGTTAAAACATTCCTTTAAGAARTCTGTGAAAATACATATAAATTGGTGTTATTCRGCCATTTTTGTWTTAGTTCATTGATTTAAATTGATGGCGAATCCACTTCMCRAAAAGACAAAACACGCTAACTGACCTTTATATCATTATTTACYAAAATAATGGTTCTTTTTGACAATCAGTGTCTATMTTTTGTYCCAWTAACGCCAGAGATTGATTCSCTCTTGAACATCAAGAGAAATTATGYTTGGATCACACCATCTGCCACACAAAAATCTGATTTTTGATCCAGTTGATCACAGACTGCGAGCCATTATGTCAAGTTGGCCTGTCATTGTATCATTGCTATAAATTGTTGATGACTTTACGCTGGTCACGTGGTCTCAGGTACCTGCACGGGATCGAGGCCCTTTTGCGGCTGCTCAGAAACCAGGAATTAGTCAATTTGCTATTTACACTAATTGCAAAGACGCTGGTCTTAGATTTAGGAACTCGTCAGTGTAGACTGTGAAATTTTTAAAAAGATAACGCATGCTAAACAACTTTTGATCTGTCTGTATTTCCTTTTCTTTATTCTTTTTGACGTCTTTTCGATACAAGTAGTTTGAATTTAAACGGATTCTTTCGTGCCGCGTCTATTTCTTTCAGCTAGTAATAAAGCATACTGTATCAACGTGCCGAGAGCGAGAAAGAACCGACTGGTGATCGGCGGGAAGAAGCACAAGTTGTTATAATCGCACTACGTGGTTCTAAAACAAAACATAGYTCACATGAATATAATAAATAATAAAAAAAAGATTGTACGATAGATTGATATCGATATTGTGCGTCTCTGTCTTTCTTGCAACTTATTGTAAACCAACAAAAAAGCAAGAAAACAACAACAACAACAGTTGAATGGTTTCATATCCAAAGGCGTGCGCGCTTTACACTTCAAAGGATTTATTCATTTTCAACCAATCACAAGAGATCAGAAGTCTTTCGCGCGTCCGATCAGATTCATCAATCAGTGTTTTTTTAGTAGCTTCCTGCTAAAATGTCCCTAAATAAATCTGAATATCAATACAGTAAGGTTCAAATCAAAGCAATTTTATTTACTGAACAAAAAATACATGCTACAGAGTAACATTTGTAAAACCAATTTGGTACAAATTCAGATAATTTACATTTTATATTATTCCAGCTCATTTTAATGAAGCTATTTCAGTTGAATAACTGGTATATTTCCCCCTTTCTATATTATTTTACTTTATTTACAATTTTCAAATTTTTTATTAAACGCCGAGAAAAAAATTCGTTTGTGAAGGACCTGTTACGTTAAAACAATAAGGTTTTAAACATTTCTCTGCTCAATACGATGAATTCAGCATGCAGGCAGATTAATCTTCCTTCAAACTTTTCTCCAAATAATATAGTCTATATAAAAAAAGTATTTGATATAGTTGAATGGAAGCATTCTCGACTACTATTACTGCCCCCATCTTTTCATCAAACTTTTTTCGTTTTGTAATCTTAAAGAAGCTAACGAGGCACTAACCAGGTTGGCATCGTTGAACAATAACTTGTAGCCAATTYATTCTGATATCTTGAAAGAATAAATCCAAATTCTAAAGCATTCTTTATCGCAATATCCCATACAACTACATAATATTGTCAAAAGTTTGTAATTCAAGATGGCGACCACACTTGTATTAAACAAGTTAAGGTATTTGTGCCTTTGATCTCTCCATGGCACGGAATCCGGAGCGTTACAAAAATCAGTCCGGATCTAAGATATATTTCGTAAGGATTCTGGATTCCACCATATTGAATCAGAATACAAAGTATCCAAGCTTTATCTTCTCTCGTCAGTGACTCGTTTGCAATAACGAAACATTTGAAGCACTTATTTCGATTCCAGATTCCTCGTTTTATAGAGTCCGTTTCCATTTCCGCGGATTTTGGAACCCAAGTGTCTCGATTCCAGAGACAAAACTTATTTGGATTGCAGATTCCGTGTATAGGGGCTACTTGATCTCCACTAATTTTGTAATTTTACCCTAAATTAACATATGTACCTATTCCAGATTTGTTTAAAGTTGACTGAGCCATATTCTGTAGTAAATTTATAGGCGCAGGAAAACCTATCCATAGAACAGATGGTTGGTTAAATAGACTATATAACGCAGAATTCGTCTAGCGTTTCTCAGCTTGTGATTATACTAGCGTTTATGTAGTGTATTGAAGCATATTAACTATGATTGAAGCGTCYACGAAGAAGTGTTCTGCAACAACGTACATGTTGTACATAAATCCAACAACGTACYGTACTGTACATGTGAATCCGACGGATTTTGTCTAGCCAACATCTCGCTACCAAAGACAAGTTATTGGCTAAAAGTTGTGTAATATGTTAATCAATTTTTCCACTTGTTTCATTGGTTGAACTTCAGTGGCTTGCTGTTGAGAATTCATTTCGCTTTACGTTACGCACTGCATCATCTCACTTTTCCATCATTCCAATTTACAGGATTCGTCCTATTTATATGATAATTGACAGCTGTCACTCGCGATGACGTCATTGATATTGCGCTTCGTAAAATGGACAACACGTTGGAACTGGTATTTGAACGTTTATGCCATAAAGTTCTGTTAAGTCATTTAAGAAGCCAAGGTCACTTTTTGGATCCAATCCTATCCTTCTAATGACTTCTGATGTGAGTATACGATCAGGCGTTGAGGCGACTTCGAATAGAGACTGGAATAAGGTGTTGTTTAAATGAACAAAATATCTGAGRATAGAAAAGGAGTGTATTATTTAAAAGTGTCCTTCACAATTCCAACACCATCTTGAATGTAGCTGTGCCTTTGCAATGAAGCATAACAATCTGAGTGCGAAGGCAATAACAGGCATTACTTTCTGGACAGTAAGTCAGAGGTATCTATCATTGGAAAGCTCACTAGCTCTGAGATATGTCAAGGGAATTATTGTATCAAAGTTCAAAATCATATTTTTTTTAACATCAACTTTGTTATCATCTTACAGTCTTCATACAACTACTTAAATTAACACAATATTGTGAGTGTTTCAGGAATGACGTCATCAATTACCATATTTAATCATTATCATAATCACTGTCATTTACAGTCATCATGGCAATCATTAGACATCAAAGTCAAATAACAATAATAATCATACTTTGTGTACATCTTTTCATCATCCATAACTTCTCCTCCATTAATAAGTTGATCTCTCCTGCAATGAGGATATTCATTAGAATAAATAAAGTACAAAACATTTGTACTTTTTTAATATCTGTTCAGAGTGGAATGCAACGATATTTCAAAAACTCATTAATTATTCATGAGGTATTCAGCCAATCCCTGTTTGTAATTTGTACCACGTGAAGTAACTTGAAACCAAAGGAAGTACTCGTACCTTGTATTCTACCTTATTTCCAGTTACTTCTACCTTTTTCAAGTTACTTCTACATTATTTCCAGTTACTTCTACCTTATTTCCAGTTACTTCTACCATGTTTCCAACTACTACYAGCTAATGATAATCAAATTATTAGAAATAATCAGTTTAACATTAATTTAGTGAAAAAAGGTCTTTGATACATGACTCACGACTCGATCCCCTATACCGTCCAGTCTATATGCGCCGTCTTATAACATTACGCCACCGAGTTTCTGATGCGATTCCTCGGAAGATAACATACTTATAACTCTTATGGATTAGACTCATTAGGAATGCCATGAATAGCAGACAAAGACAATTTGAATAGCTTTTGTTTCAGAAAGCCGTCCGGGAATTGAAGAACAACAAACGGTGCTTCATGCATTCAAAATTATGAAAACTGAAAACCTTAGTGGAGATGCAATAAATCAATATATTTCTGTTATATGTATTTCCTTCGCTTTTTTTCCCTCCCGAATAATTAATGAGTTTTTGAAGTCGTTCAAAGGCCTCCAATTCGGACTTGACGGGATTTCAAAGTCCTTGCAATTAGTTCCAATTAGAACTAATTGCGCGGACTTTGAAACCCCGTCAAGTCCTCATTGTCGGCCTTTAAACATTACGTATTGCACACAAAGATATTCGACTCAATCTACCAAGTAGTTAATTACACAATTATGGCATCACACTCTACGAATGCCAAAGGTTTGAGAAAGGTTGACCAATGTTGCTAATGGTAACTACAAATGAATTGAGCCTAWAGGATGTTTTCTCCCTTGCCATGAGGGATATTTTGTGAGTCTTCAAGTCTGGATGAGGGGGGAGTGACTGAAACTTAATCTCATATATACCTGTATATGTCCAGTGTTTCAAACCTTTCTCTGTCAGCATAATTYGGATGCACCAAGCTGTTTAAATGTCCTTTAGCACGAATATTTTGATTATCRATATAAACATCCCACACGTCATCTTTCATTTCAAATATCTTCTCAGTTGTACCTTGAAATGACATGGCACAATGATGTTAATTGGAAATAATAATAGTTAATAATACCATAAAAAGCAGCCATATAAATTTTTGGTGGGTATTAGTGGTAAACTAGTGTGAGCTGTGTCAATGTTTCTAAAGAAACAGTTAATTGTGTAAAAATATAAATTTAACACAGTAAAAAGTAGGTGAAATAACTTAATGAAATTTTGGATGGTAATCCTTAATATATTTTGGACAAGTTTCAAAAAAGTATATAATTATTAAGGTCTTCATCTGAAGATTACATGTATGTGAGTTAATTTCAAATTTCACAGGAAACCAAGTGCTTACTGGAGTGGAATTACTTACATGCAATATATTTGTGTTCATTCTGTAAAGTGTCAAGATCRCACACATTTGTAAAGAACAGTGGATTGCTTCCCGTTTCAAATCCAAATGGAATCCCATGACTTGCCAACAGACATGCACAGTAAACTAAAACATAAACCAACCAGTATGTAATATCAAACACAGTCGAGAAATACAGTTTATCAGGTTGTGTAAAAGGATGACTAAACAGTAAAGTCCACCAGGGTCTATATGTACTAAGGGCAATTAAATATTGTTAATCATGGTATAACCAGTATGTTACATCAAACACAGTCGAGAAATACAGTTTATCAGGTTGTGTAAAAGGATGACTAAACAGTAAAGTCTACCAGGGTCTATATGTACTAAGGGCAATTAAATATTGCTAATTATGGTTTAAAAGTAAAGGCTGACAGAGGCTTAATGCACTGTAATGTAAAAAGACTTACCTCTATAACAAGCTACCCCAACAGGGGGAGGGGAGAAGAATAATATTCTTTTTTGCAGTAAAACAAACTTCCAAAGGATAAACATTTTCTCTCCAAAAAAGTTAATAAATTGAGGAAAACATCCAGCTGGATGRGTAATCTTTAAGACTGGGATTTCTTCAAGTCCTGGTAAGTGCTCAGGAGGAGGTGATGCCACAAAGTTATTCCTAACGATACAGTGCTTGAAGCTGTCATAGTAATTMCGTAGGTCCTCATAATGACCAGGATTGTCAAGTTGTTTTCTATTTGATGAAAAATTAGAATAAATTGACGACTTTCATAATGGCTGACATCAATTAGCAATATCATTGTTAAATTCATTTTTAAATACTCTCTGATGAGTGCGTAGCACGAAACTCRGAGTTACAGCAAAATCTTGCCTCTTTGAAATCATATATATAACTAGCTCTACACTTTATGTKTATTGAGCACTCTTTAATGGGATCAGCCACTTCCTCATACGATTAAATTCATTTTTATATATGTGTTTTAGAAGTCCTCTCTACATTGGATGGATATGTTTTCTTTCACTTCTATATTTATTCTATTTTCACCTGAGTTACAAGAATTCAACATCTTTAGGTTGTTATACTTACGTTACTTCATCTTCAAGGAAAGGTAAGTGTTCATGAAGTGAAGTGTATCTTGCACATATGATTCCTACAGACTTCATTCGYGATCCTCGCTCTTCTACACTGTCAACAGTAATCCTTTCAAAGCAGCTCAAGCCAAATAGATTATCATTTGTTTTRAAATATCTGGATGAAAAGAAATGAGAATGAGCCTTTGGTCTACATGTATGACAAAAGTGAAAAAAAGTGAAAAAGTGATTGTGGCTCTGTGTAGGAGATAAAGAACAATGATTACATGTACGCAAAGTTATTTCATTTCTGCTTTGTTGCCATGTGCAATGAGTCTTAGAATGGTTGGAGATCCCTAGTGAAAAACTGTACATGCCCCTGGATTGGGAAGAACTATATGACTGTTCTTTACTCACGAATGCTTATCTGGCATAAACTGTAGCAAAATGAATAAATTAATTTATTGAATAAATTAAAACTTAATCAAACAAGTAGAAGAACTCACACAAAATCTTGCATAATAGTATGAGATCCACTTGCTAAAGCCTTGAATTCAACCTCACTGAGGTCTATATCTCTTGGGTACTTCCATTCAATTATATTTCCTGAATTTTAATGACATACAAAAGGGTTAAAAATAAACAAAGTGTCTAGATATCTGGCACCTGGGAWTGAGTTTCAAAATACYATGTGTSCATTTCCATAATATATGCCAGGACTTGACAAAAGCGTATCCCTCAAATGTTCAAGGTCTATGTTCTATATGACAGTCGTTCTATATCAGGTCATGAGTATTTTACCTAGTAATTATTTTTGGCTTAAATTTCGATGAAGTTAAAAAATCCAGAGTACTGTATCTAGTATTTAGAACTCATTCCCRGGTATCTAGACACTTCCTAAAATAAATGTAGAGTAGATTGTAAATCAAATGATCATAGGAGTTTGAATGACACAGGAATCCCAATTCTTTTTATCTGGAGAACATTTACATGACATCTGGAATATTACATTTGTAAAAAATAAATTTAAAGCATTATGAGTGCTGATTTGTAAGTTAAAACCGTTCAAATAACCTTTATTTCAGTTACCGCGGTATTAGGAAAGCAAGAGACAATCAACCATTCACATTCGGGTCCATTTCCGGTGCAATCAGGTCATCATCATCCCACGTATGTTTGGCTATATATGGACATTTTCATGTTAAAATGTAACAYAGACTGATCGATGTACTTTTTWAAAAAAATATTCACCTCATTTTAGACACCAAGGAATTGAAATCTGACTATCACACGATCTTTTTTTACCTCTCTAAATGTAACAAATTGATTATGATATGAAAAAATACTCTCGTTTTATTAAAAAAAACCCTACTACACTTAAGGCATTATTTGATCCGTAACATRTATAAAGGAGTGTAGAAATTGTCGATTTATCGATAAGGGACGTGTGAACGAACGTATTTGTATTTTTTATGGTTCACTGAATGTTTTATACAATGTACACATGAAAACAAACCGGCAAATCATATGATCAAGTGCTAAAAAAAAACAAAAGCAAAAAACACTAATTCAACACCAAACAAAAAATAAAATCACTCTCTAAACAATGACAACGTATCGTTCTTGATTATTACTAAGGTGTAATGGGATTAAAATAAGCTTAATGAGGTAAGATTTCGACACAGAACGTCAAAAACTCCTACCTTTTCGTGTATCGAAATGCACTACGAAGACTGCTACGATCAAATCTCTGATGTTTTCAGAGCTTGGRGATATAATATCAGCGTTATTTTCTAGATTCAATGAAGATGGTCTTTGAAGTTCCTTGTGAAGTGAGTCGTTGTTAATTTGTTCTCTAAGATCGTAAGATGTATCGGGAAGTTCTTCGGCTTCGACGAGCGCAGCATCGTCCGCCATGTTGGTACTTCCCTCTATTTCCTCCCAAGCCCACCCCACATTGTAAGTGATATGGTAGTATGGGAGGGGTAGGAGAGATAGAGAGATCCCTAGACAGACAACGAACTTTTGTCAACTACACATTGAGCAACGAGAGATTTCTTATTTCTGACTTAAAAAAAGTACCTGGAATTCAGTTAAGTGATTAAATTCAAACTTATATATAAGAGTTTTTGTGTCAAATTATTCTTTCTTTGGGTTCCCTGTGTTGTAATTTTTCATCCGCTGTTGTTAGATACTATGGGCTCATAAATACTTGAATAGGAGGATTTTCAGACGGTCAAGTAATTTTAAATTTGTAGCGAAACAATTCGTTTTTAAGGTTTTATTTTAGTAGTAATATAAAAGGTTATCTAGTTTTATTTTYTTCATCTCAATTGGTTTGACTTAAAAAAAGGGCATAAAAGCAGCATCTATTTCAACAAAAAAAATGGCTGACTCAACAACACCAGAAGAAAAACAGGTTTCYTCAAAACAGGTTTATCTGGATTATAATGCAACAACTCCACTTGATGCTGCAGTTCTTCAATCTATCCACAGTGCTTTGCGAGATGCATGGGGTAACCCTAGCAGCTCTCATCAACTTGGACAAAGWGCACATAAAGTCATCAAAACATCACGCAGCTCAATAGCAAAAATGATTGGATGTTTGGACACAGAAATTGTGTTCACTTCAGGTGGCACAGAAGCGAACAACATGGTCTTTCATTCAGCTCTCAATCATTATGAAGGATTTTTGAAATCTTCTACGACTTCTTCAAGGTTAAAGGATTYTAAGCCACAGTTTATTATATCAAACCAAGAGCATGACTCGGTCTGTCTTCCKGTTGCRCACTTGAATAGTACGTCAAAGGCTGAGGAGTGTATAGTCAGWGTTGCAAAGGATTCTGGGATGGTTACAGCAAAGGATATTCAGGATGCTGTCAAATCCAATACCTGCYTGGTGTCAGTGATGTTAGCCAAYAATGAGACTGGGGTCATTCAGGTAAGTTCCATGGGTGGTAGGGYAGGGATCCTCTGAMTGCTCTYTTTAATAAAAAATGTTTTATATATATTTCTTTATAGCCTATTGCTGAAATTGCACAAGCAATCAGAAGTCTAAATAAAGAAAGAGAGAMAGCAGGTTTGCCAASRATTCTGTTTCACACAGATGCYGCTCAAGCAATTGGCAAGATAAAAGTTGATGTCTCTGAACTTGATGTTGATTACCTGACCATTGTAGGACATAAATTCTATGCACCAAGGATAGGTAGATTTCGACATTTTATTATGGCTGATTTGATTGATTGAGTGATTKTGTAGTCATGATGATGATGATGACTGACAAAGTCATTTTTCAGGTGCTTTATACRTCAGAAATCTTGGGACTACTTCTTCTGCACCACTTTTTCCAATGCTGTTTGGTGGAGGACAAGAAAGAAACTATCGGCCAGGAACAGAGAACACAGGAATGATTGCTGGACTTGGTAAAGCTGCTGAACTTGTGATTGAACACTTGGATGAATACCAAATGCATATGCAAAAGGTAGAACAAGCTCTTTCTCTATTCATCCTCTATGTTTCTGTCTATCTGTCTACCTCTGTCTACCTCTGTCTGTCTGTTTGAATTATACAGTTTGTTTGACTGTACTGTTTACGTTATATCATATACTTTTASCACAATTGCATCAATCATTCAATATTGTTTTGTCTTTATCATTTGTACATGTAGGTGAGAGATTACCTGGAGTCCATGCTCACAGAGGTCTTTGGTGYTGACAATATTCACATCAATGGCAAGTTTTCAATTAGCAAAAGACTTCCAAACACCAGCAATGTGTCCTTCATTGGGAAAGGTCTTTATGGACGAACRATTCTTAGCAATACAAAGTACCTTCTTGCCAGTGTTGGAGCTGCATGTCATTCTGATAGAGGCTCAAARCCCTCACATATCCTAGAAGCACTTGGTATTCCTTGTCATATCGCTTTGAATGCTGTGAGAATGAGYGTCGGTAGAGAAACAACTYYKGAAGATGTGGATATTGTTGTTCAAGATCTTAAAGAAGTGGTTGATAAACTTAAAGTTGAACAGTGATCRAGATGAATAATTTATGATTGTAAAAAGTTCAACAATTTCATATAAATAATTTCTCTTATAATATCACACTTCACTAAGTTTAGATTTTTATTATGATTGAATTAAAGTGTGCTCATTTGCATAGGCTCTATGAGCAAGGAAAAAATATATAATATAAA